GCCGGCGCGGCAGGAGGGGCAAAACTTGTTCTTGAAGTGGCCCGGATTCTGCGGCCGCTGGAAATCAAACGAGCAGGGAGCAGTCTCGCCGAGCAGCGGCCCCCAGCAGCCGCCTCCGCACGCCGGCGACACTGGGCCGAGCGCGTCCACTCCGCCTTCCTCCAGCGGGAGGATGACGTCGAGCGCGTCGTCCAACATAGCCTGAGATATGACGACGTCATCCTGCATAATGGCCGCGCCTGACGTCACTCGGTCCGTCACTGCGTCCGGCTGCGTTGTGGAAACATCGGTCCGAAAGGCGAAAACCTGCGAGAAAAAAAAACCGAGCAGTTGTTTCTTTCACATCCCCATTATTAAAATCCCTGTGTGGTGGCGGCGTGCCGTCCTCCCATCCCTCCCTTGGGTTGTCTGTTTTGTTTTTTCTTTCTTTTTCACATCCCCACGTTGCGGGCTCGCGGCCGCTCGCGAGCACTCTCTCTGAAAGGCGAGCATAGAGCTCGAGATCGTCTGGAGCCGTCCAGGCCGCCGCGTCCAGAGAGAGAGAGATTTTCTTCTCTTCCAGAGAGAGAGAGGAGAGATTTTTGTGCTCTTCCATGGGACGCTGCTCGTTCGTTCTCACTCAGGGCAAGAATGTCCATTCACACCCGACGCATCCCGCGCGCCTGTGAATAAATAGCGTCTGGGAACGCTCGAAGATTTTTATCTACCCTATGAACCGAACGGCGATTCGAACCCAGGTCCTCAGATTCGAACCCAGGATCTCCCTCGCCGTCGGCGAGCTAGGGGCTCGCGGACGGCCGAATTACTATAGTGTACAGCCGTGAATGTGAACGATAGTTTGACGTGCGTCCCCCGTCTGTCGGATCCTCCGACAAGGTAGAGACGCCCGCACCCGCGGCTTGTCTTGTTTGGAATCTATGTGTGGACATGACCTCGAGTGGAGCCCCAGTCCCGGCAGCGCCGCTGGCAAGCGCAGAATATGGAGCTGAGGGTCAGGGCGCTCTAGCCCGCAGCCCGTCCCCGGAGGCGGAGCATCCGGCCCGATGGGTACGCTTCTGAGCTCCCCGGCCCTTGGTGTGAGGTTGCTGACTGCACTCCAACTCTCCAAGTGCTGACCACAGGGCGTTTGCGGCGGTCACTACCAGCGGGCACAAAGTGGCCGCGGACACCCGTGATAAATAACTTAATAAAACGTCGGGAAGGAGGACGCCTGCTCACAGCGGCAGGCGTGAACAGCGGCAGGCCCTGGCGTACCCCCGGACGGCAAGTGTCAAAGATGTCCCATCGGAGCGAGGAGCGTCGCTGGCGTGATGAGCAACGGCGCGACGAGTACGGACGTGGAGAGCGGCGATGGCGGGGCGGTTCGCGACGGCGGTCGCGATCGCGCGATGAGCCGCGGCGGGAGCGACGGCCGCATCATGACGGGCGGCACAGTGAGCGGCGCGGCTGCAACGACCGACCAAGCATAGGCGAGCGCGAGCGCGACTTGTACGATCGGCGCGATGATCGGTCCCACGATCCCAGGCGCAACCATGACCGGCGCGACCGCCGCGGCGAGGGGCAGCCTCAGCACAGCGACCGCCGGTTGAGTCCGCCGATGCGTGGTGCGGGATCGCGCGAAGAGAGGCACACCTCTGCTGCCGGTGGTCAGCTCAACGCAAAGCAGCTCAACAGCCACATCTCAAATGCTGGCAGCACTGACGCACTGCTCACGCTCTTTGATGCCCACAGCGCGAGCTTGGACCACATCCACGCTGCGAACCTGTGGAACAAACTGGGCAAGCAGCGCATCGAGCGGCGGCACGAGGGGCGGCTTGAGCAGCTGGTGCAGCGCACGCTCGACCTCGTCTCCTCGTGCGATGCGCGAGCACTGGCGAACGTCGCTCACGGTGTGGCAAAGAGCGGCCTGCAAGCGAGGGTGGTGCACCCGTTGGTCGTAGCGGCGGCGGAGGCGGCGGTGCCTGGCGGGGCTGGCTGGCTTCAAGCCGCACGAGCTGGCCAACACGGTGTTGGCGGTACGCGACGGCGGGGGGTTGGCTTGCGGACGCCCTGTACCTCCGCGGGTGGCCGAAGGCGGCCGTTGCCCCAACCAGGCTTGGCTGGCCTTTCATTCCCTCCGAAACCCTGGGCCCAACCCGGGGGGGGGGGCCTTTTTCC